GTTAGAAAAACATTTTTGGATCAAAAAATTCGTCATTAGCTAAAGTATATTGGGCATTATTCATATCTCAAAAAATCTCACTTTCATTTTTCCACCTCATGTCCACGTGATTGCCCACTGTGTGTCATATGAGTACGTCAACATTGTTGATACTGTTGGGATTGAATGATCATCATATATCAACTTGTCCTGTTTGTTTACGACTAGAAGAATCTCTCTCAAACAGATTCAGGAGCCTCCAAATAAGAAGATTAACAAAATTGCTGTTGTTTAATCTTCTTGCGAAAATTTGAGCGCTAATCTTGAAACTAAAGCAGTCATTTGATGCCTCTACTTGTTGCATAGGACGCCATGCCTCATTAAGAACTTTGCAGACAACACCGGTCCGGATTCCGATATAATGCGACATGGTTCTGGTGGGATTGTGCCAGATTCTGGCATGTTCCGACGTCGGATCCTGTCGGATCTTTCAAAAACTTGTCTTCGGAATCATCGGCCTGGGTACTATCTAAACCACAGAGAAGATCCCTTGATCGAAACGTTTTGTTTTCTGTTCCAGATATATTTCGTTTCACTTTTGCTATGTACTAAACTGTAAAAACAAGTGTCAGTTTTACTAATGAATAGAATGTAAACATAATCACAGTTAGTCTTGAAGAGCTGAACAAGTCTTTCTTCAATTACAGAATATTCTGCTGCTTGTCCCGTGTCTTTTCTAGATCCACGGACGTTTCTAGGACCCATCAGTTCCAAACAGTCTAATAAATGGAAAGTCACGCGATAAAAGGAGTTGATCAATCACGAGCTCAATGGTACTGGAAATCAAATTCCGATTCATGGTCAACAAATGGAAATGAAGAATGGACAAAATATGCTGATATCGAATCAGCGATTATCGAAGAAGCATTTAATCGACAGAATAAAACCAAACTAGCTGAACTGGATAATTATTCGATTAACTTAACCCATTGCATTCAAATCAGTAAATCGAATCCAAATGAACAACGTCATATAAAACGGGCTCTAACTAGTAGAAATGAAAGTCAAGCTTTAAGAGAAGAAAGACTCTTTCTCCCACTAGCACTGAGTAAAACGTTCAATAATGACCGGGGTAAAAAAGCTTATATTTTTCTTTCACAGTGGAAGAAAGACAAGGAACTTTCTGATGTTGAAATAGTAGAGCAGGCAGCGAATGGAATAATTGTCGAAGGGGAGGAACTAGGTCAACGTTGTAACTCACAATATCTCGCTCGCCAACTAATAGCTGTGAAACACAAAAAGAGAGAAGAAGTTTACAATTGTTGCATTCACCTATACACAATGGAATGCTTTCTATATAAACTAATAAATAAAGCACTGAGAGAAACCGACACGAGTAAAATAAACACTTTGGGACCATTTTGTTACATTCTATTCAGAAGCTGGCTAACAACTGATACAACATACACAGCGGAACTGTATCGAGGTGCAAACATGGACCAGAACACGGTGACATCGTATGCGGAAGCCACCGGAGAGTACAGATGCTGGAATGCCTTTACTTCAACTACCAGAAATCGTCAACTAGCCGAAGTCTTCGGAAACACATTATTCATAATAGACGCAACCGACAACGGCGGCTTAGACATCTCCACACTTTCCCATTTCGACCAAGAAGAAGAAGTTCTACTACGGCCAGGAACCGAATTTAAAGTCATGGAAGTCAACCAAACCACAAACAAAACCCATGTTTATTTGAAACTACGCCATACCGCCCCTACAACATCCGCGCCAAATCCCTAATCCCAGACCCCAATCAAACTGTCGTCAAATAAGCATTCCTGCGATGAAAGCGAAATGTAATCTGGTGCCGTGGAACATCTAGGACATAGATCAATAGTCCGCTGTTTCGCATTCTTCATTAAAACCATCGTCATTAACTCAGCAAGTGGTAACCGCTTCGTCGTCAGATGAGCATTGCTGTGACGAAAGTGATGTGTTGACTGGTGCCCTGGAACATCCAGTAGATAGACCAATATTGTAGTCGTTGGCGTTCTTCACTAGCTGCATCATGATTGAGTCAGTTGCTGATGACCTAGCCGTCGTTAGGTGAGCATTGCTGTGAGGAGACCGAAATGTCATCTGGCGGCACGGAACTTCCAGGGGATAGCTGAATAGTCTCCTGATTGGCATTGTTCACTAGCTGCAACATGATTCAGTCAGTTGTTCAAGACCTCGTCGTCGTCAGATGACCATTGCTGTGACAAAACTGAAATGCCATCTGGTTCCACGGGACATCTCGGAGAATAATCAAAAGAGTACTGTTTCACATTCTTCGCTAGCAGCTTCACGATTGACTCAGTTGGTGAAGAAATCGTCGTTGTCAGATGAGCATTGCTCTGGCGAAAGTGGAATGCCATCTGGTGCTATGGAACATATATGAAATACACGAATAGTCTGCTAATTGGCATTCTTCATCAGCAGCATCGTAATTGAGCCAGTTCTTCAAGGCCTCGCCGTCATCAAATGAAGATTCCTGTGACGAAAGTGAGACGTCATCTGGTGCCGTGGAACAACTATGAGATAGGTCAATAGTCTCCTTATTGGCAAACTTCACTAGCTGCATCGTCATTGAGTCAGTTGTTCAAGACCTCGTCGCCGGCAGATCAGCATTGCTGTGACCAAAGGAAAACGTCATCTGGTGCCATGCAACATCTAGGAGATAAATGCAAAATGTAATATTTAGCATTCTTCACTAGCTGCATCATGAGTGAGTTAGTTGTTCAAGACCCCGTCTTTGTCAGATGGGCATTGCTGTGACCAAAGCGAAATGTCAACTGGTGGCATCGAACATCTAGAAGCTACATGAATAGTATGCTGATCGGCATTCTTCACTAGCTGAATCGTCATTGACTCAGCAAGTGCTAAGCTCGTCGTCGTCAGATGAACATTGCTCTGAAGAGGGTGAAATGACAACTGGTGCCATGGAATATCTAGGAGATATACGAATAGTGTAATTTTACGCATTCTTCACTAGCTGCATCATGATTGAGTCAGTTGTTCTTGACCCCGTCCTCGACCGATGAGCATTGCTGCCACGAAAGTGAAATGTCATCTGGTGCCATAGAACATCTACGAGATACACGAATAGTGTAATTTTTCGCATCCTTCACCAGCTCCATCACGATTGAGTCAGTTGTTGTTGACCTGGTCGTGGTCAGATCAGCATTGGTGTGACGTACGTGAAATGTCAACAGGTGGGATGGAACATCTACGAGATGGATGAATAGTCTGTTGTTTGGCATTCTTCGCCTAACACCATCCCGATTGATTCAGAAAGTGGTAACTTCGTCGTCGTCAGATGAGGATTGCTGTGACGAAAGTAAAATGTCATCTGGTGGCATGGAACATCTAGGAGATAGACCAATAGTGTAATCTTTAGCATTATTCACTAGGTGGATCATGATTGAGTCAGTTGTTGAAGACCTCGTCGTCGTCAGATGAACATTGCTGTGACGAAAGTAAAACGTCATCTGGTGGCATGGAACATCTACGAGACAGATGAATAGTCTCCTGATTGGCATTCTTCACTAGCTGCATCGCCATTGACACAGCAAGTGGTAACCTCGTCGTCGTCAGACGAGCATTGCTGTGACGAAAGTAAAATGTCATCTGGTGGCATATAACATCTACGAGACAGATGAATAGTCTCCTGATTGGCATTCTTCACTAGCTGCATCGCCATTGACACAGCAAGTGGTAACCTCGTCTTCGTCAGACGACCATTGCTGTGACGAACGCGAAACCTCAGCTGGTGGCATGGCACATCTCGGAGATAAATGAAAAATGTAATTTTTCGCATTCTTCACTAGCTGCATCATGACTGAGTCAGTTATTTTTTACCTCGTCGTCGTCAGATGAGCTTTGCTGCGAAGACAGTGAAATGTCCTCTGGTGCTATGGAACATCTGGGAGATAGGTAAATACTCTGCTGATTATCGGCATTCTTCGTTAACTGCACCGTGACTGAGTCAGCAAGTGATAACCTCGTCGTCGTGAGATCAGCTTTGCAGTGACCAAAGTGAAACGTGATCTGTTGGCATGGAACATCTGCGAGATAGATGAAAAGTCTAATCCTTCGCATTCTTCCTTAACTGCATCATGATTCAGTCAGTTATTCAAGACCTGGTCGTCGTCAGATGAACATTGCTCTGACGAAGGTGAAATGTCATCTGGTGCCATGGAACATCTAGGAGATAGGTCAATAGTCTCCTTATTGGCATACTTCACTAGCTGCATCGTCATTGACTCAGCAAGTGGTAACCTCTTCGTCGTCAGATGAACATTGCGGTGACGCAAGTGAACTGTCGTGGAGTGCTGCCATGGACCATCCAGGGCATAGACGAATAGTCCGCTGATCGGTATTCTTAACTAGCTGCATCATGATTGAATCAGGTGTTGAAGTACTCGTCCTGGGCAGATGAGCATTGCTGTGGCGAAAGCAAAACGTCACCTGCTGGCATGGAACATCTACAAGATAAATGAAAAATGTAATGTTTGGCATTCTTCACTAGTTGCATCATGATTGAGGCAGTTGTTGAAGTACTAGTCGTTGGCGGATGAGCATTGCTGTGACGAAAGCGAAATGTCATCTGGTGCCATGGAACATGTAGGAGATAGAGCCATAGTCTGTTGATTGGCTTTCTTCATTAGCTGCATCGTCATTGGCTCAGGAAGTGGTAACCTCTTCGTCGTCAGATGAGCATTGCTGTGACGAAAGCGAAATGTCATCTGGTGGCATGGGACATCTAGGAGATAGATCAATAGTCTGCTCATTGGCATTCTTCACTAGCTGCATCGCCATTGACTCAGCAAGTGGTAATCGCATCGTCGTTCGATGAACATTGCTGTGACGAAAGTGAAATGTCAACTGGTGCCATGGAACATCCAGGGGACAGATGAATAGTCTGCTGATTGATATTCTTCACTAGCTGCATCATGACTGAGTCAGTTGTTGAAGTACTCGTCGTCGGCAGATCTGCATTGCCGTGAGGAAACCAAAATGTCATCCGGTGGCATGCAATACCTAGCGGATGAATGAAAAATGTAATGTTTCGCATTCTTCACTAGTTGCATCGTGAGTGAGTCAGCTATTCAAGATCCCGTCGTCGTCAGATGGGCATTGCTGTGACGAAAGCGAAATGTCATCTGGTGCCATGGAAGATCTAGGAGATAGAGCAATAGTCTGTTGATTGGCTTTCTTCATTAGCTGCATCGTCATTGGCTCAGGAAGTGGTAACCTCTTCGTCGTCAGATGAGCATTGCTGTGACGAAAGCGAAAGGTCATCTGGTGGCATAGAACATCTAGGAGACTGACGAATATTATAATCGTTGGCGTTCTTCACTAGCTGCATCACGATTGAGTCAGTTGTTGATGACCTCGTCGTCGTCAGATGAGCATTGCTGTGACGAAAGTGAAGTCTGAACTGGTGCCATGGAACATCTAGGAGATAGACGAATAGTGTGATGTTTCGCATTCTTCACCAGCTCCATCATGGTTGACTCAGGAAGTGGTCACCTCGTCATCGTCCGATGAGCATTGTGGTGACGAAATTGAAGTGTCAGCTGGTACCAACAGCTAGAACATAGATGAGGAGTGTTTGCTATTACAAAATCCTGGCGAAAATTCATTGTTGTAGACAACGGTATTTATGTGTACCTGCTACAAGCGTAGTATCAGAATCATGTTTCAGCTTAAGCGGCTATTTGTTAAGAAAAGAAAGATCTTCATTAGATCCTAAGACAGTAAACGAAGTGATACTTTTGAAAGATAAACTTTAAAAGCAAATAAGTTGAAAAAAAGATTTTTTATTGTTTTTGTATTGATTTTTGTTGTCTCTAAGTATTTCTTTTGTTTTAAGCTCTTTGGGAGCGCTTTGTTTAACAACTCAAAAAGAAAGCACGAAAAAACTTTTTGGCTCACTTGTCTATATATGATTGAAAAAATTTCGATACCTATCGATACGATACCAAGTCGAAATTTTTCGATACTTTCGAGACCGATACCAGGACCTGGTATCGACCTAAACGATACCTCGATACGGATACGGAGGTTGGTATCGAACGCTCAATACCGATACCGTCTGAGTATCGGTATTGATAATCCCCTAGTTTGTATTATGGAATAAAGTTGATTATATTTTTCTAATTCAATTTTATCTTCAATAAATGAATCTATTTCATTTAATAATTCAAATAATTCTTTATGTTTAATTTGAGTTAAAATAAAAGAATCAATTTGATTATCTTGTAAATGTTGATATAGAATTTCAAATGTTTGTTCTTTAATTTTTCTTAGAATTATTTCATCTTTATATTGATCAAAATTGGTTAGATTGTCATTTGACATGACTTTTCGTAATGAACATCTATCGAAAATTGTACAACTTGTTTTTAATTCATTTAAAATCTTACTAATTTCATTCGATAGATTTTCGACATTATTAAGTCCACTTGCCATTATTGGACATTGCTTTTGCAGATAATTGAAGAATAAAGTCGATTTTTCGAGAAAAATTTCAACATCTGATTTGTAATCGATATTATTGAAAAATTCATTGATCAATCTCGTCACTTCAACATAGTTTTGATATTTATCTGTAATCTTTAATCGATCTAATGATATGATATAGATTTGATCAATATAATCAAATAATTTCAAATAAACATTGTAAACTAAATCTTTGAAAAATAATTGAAAATTTTCTTTTAATTCTGTTTTATTTAAATCTGTACATAATGAATCGATAGAAGTTAAAATTTGTTCGTTAGATTTTTCGTATAGAATTAGAATTTCATTGAAATAAATTCGTTTATGTATTTGATTAGTTTTTCGAATAATTTCATATAAAAATTGATTTCTTCGATGATCATTTTGTTGCAACTCTACAGATAAATTTTCAACGATAAAATCTTCAAATTCAACTTTGGACGAAAAATCAAACTCTTTCTTTGCTATTTTAATTAATAAATCAACAAATTCTGTTAAAATTTTCTAGAAATTGATTATAATATCATTTTGCTTGTCAGCCAAAAATTGTGCGACACATTGTTTTAAAAATTGAAGGTATGGTCAATTTTTGTTAATCTAATACTGTTGATAATTATGGTTGATCTTTGAATTTCTCTTGAATATTTTTAATAGTAGTTATATTATCAAAGATAAAATATATTTTCAATGACAATATATTTGGTGTAAAACATACTGTGTAAATTCGTTGATCAATTCAATTTCTTTAAAAATACATTTATTCATCATTTTCTTTTGATAATATTTTTTCTTCATTATCTAATTTCAAACTATCGATCATTTCAATAACATCTTTTTTATCTAATCGATATTTTCAAAATTCAAAATCTTGTTTATTACGAAAATAAATTGTTTATTGATTTTGATCATGTTTCATAAGAAAAATTTTCTTCCCATTTTTTATTTCGAATTTTTCAATATCATTGATTTGTCTTGTTATTAAATGAATAAAACCAATATTTTTATTCCAGTCTCTTTCAAATGAATCCCATCGTTTCACTTGAACTTTCTTTTGCATGTTGATTAAGATTTGTTATATTTTGAAAACGTAATTTCTCATAGAGATTTTGAACAAAAACATCAATATCTACGTTGTTTAGCACATGAATTTTATTTAAAAAGTTCATATTTTTATATAATAGATCAATAAGATTTTCATATTTGTGCTTATTCATTAAATTATTATCAAAATTAATTTGAATAGCTTTTTTCCGTTCGTTGAAAAATAAATTGAATTTTTTCGAAAAAGATTCTTTTATTTTCAATTATAGAATTGTATTGATGTGTTTTGATATTAAGTAAATATTCGTAAAGATCTTTAAGTATACTTTTGATTTTCGATTTCAATTCATTGGTTAAATAGAAATTGTTAATCTGTATCAATATCG